CCTTTACTACCTTTTGAGAGGGGATATTTATTTTGTTTTATGTGAATGAGTATTTTGCCTACATGTGTGTATGTGAAGTGACTTAGGTAATGACACCTTGTCCTGGCTCCATTTTGTGTCTGCTTAGACACTTCTGAGACACTTACACCACCTCCAAAAGTCATGTCAAACCTGGCTACACATTTGGAATTTCTATGGCTCTGACCATGGTACAGCTGCATTAACCAAAAATAATTAATGTTTACAATAAATGAAGAAGGCGTAAGTAAAAAATAATTGCTTTGTTACACATGGAATAACTACCATGTTCTGCCAAAACCAAATGTTGTCAGCTTACTCTGCCTCTCATCTCACATTGATGTAACTGTGTTTTGTATCTTTAAAAATGCTGAACCCTGAGCTCCGGCACCATGTGACCCTGAGGCACGAACCCGCTCTTGATCCCAGGCTAGAAATAAAGGACTTGCTTACTTTTAGTTGTCTCAATCATCGTGGTTGTCTGTGTCTTTCTCCAGTGGATTCATTACATTTTTGGGAGGCTCCATCGAAATAGCCCCACATGGACACAACCTTACTCTGGACCTTCTCAGCCAGTGGGGAGGATGCAGGGGGAGGGCCCTCTGAAGACATTCCAGGGCTTTGTGTCTCCTCCCTGAGCCCAGAGAGGTATGGAATGATCTACTGAGCTCCCGGACATCATAATGGACTGAGTCTTCCTGCTCAGTGTGTGTCTCTCTTCCCTCTTGGTCCTTCCCAACTATTTCTTTCTCTGCTTCTCCCCCATCTAAGAGGACTCAGAAAATGTTGGCTTTGGGTTGTTCTTTCCTTAATTTGTCTATGTCTTTATAACTGAAAAGCAGAAATGAAAGCAATGCTAATCCCAAAAGAGAATGAGGAAGACTACTGACCACAATTGTGGCCAAATCAAATCAAGGTTTATTATTTGCACAGTTGAGCCAGCAGCTGTCTCCCCCTAAGGCGGGAGGAGATAGGTCATTGGACCTTCACACCTGAGTGTCCAGTCCCTCCTCCCAGCTGGTTGTACAATCAGCCCTTATTTGATTGAGGCCTTAAGGGTTTTGTTTTTTCCTTTTTGTATGAGCTGGGGGATATAGGATAAAAACTAAGAATGGGCAGAGCATCCACTTATGCAGCAATGGGAAAGCTATTACATATATTCAATAAAGGTCCTAAAAATAGGCATTACCTAATACTTTAGTGAAAATTTTTACAACAAATGGTAAATTTATTTGTTACTGTTATATCTCATGATAGTTTTGAAAATGAGGTTTGTATATAAGGTTGAAATGGCTAAATAAAATTACAGTAGATCTCTCAGTTCCTCCTCTTATTTACAGAAATGTTCTCCTGTAAATGGAGGCTTTTCTGTCCTGCCTGGTCCCGAAGCCACTTTTAAAATAATCACTCAGGGGTTTAACATTAATTGCAAAGCACTTGGCCTATTGCTTAGGCTTATTATTAACCAGGTCTTACAACTTAAATTAACCCGTTTCTATTAATCTACATTTCGCCGTGTGGCTTTGTGGTGTCTGTTACCTGTTCTCTAGAACATCTTGTTCCCCAGTGGCTCACTGGCCTCTCCCCAGACCCGCCCTTCTTCTCCTGTATCTCTGCTTGGATTTCCCACCCTACTCTTATCCTGCCTTGCCATAAGCAAAATCAGCTATTTTATTAACCAATGGAACTAAAACATATTCACAGCATACAAAAGGGTTATCCCACAGCATTCCCCCATCCAAGGTCATAAATAATCTTTGAAGCTCTTGCTGAAATGTAAACTTTTTTCCTCTCAAGGGGGCAGGGGTTAAAAGCTGAAAAAATTTGAACAGAGAAAACATCATTTTAAAACTTGCAACAAAAATTAAAGATAATTAATTAAAAATCTGTTTACAGGTAACTTTAATTTGCTACAGTATGCCATGTCTGAAACTTAGATTCAGCTCTTGTTTAGGGAAATAAAGTAGAAATAAACAGTAGATAAATGTAAAAACATGCTTAAAAATGTAAAGCATGAGGTTGTTGTGATTTGAATGAGAATGCTCCCCCCCCCCCAGGAACATGCTTTGTTCCTAGTTGGTGGACTATTTAGATTAGGAGGTGTGGCCTGGTTGGAAGAGGTGTGTCAATGCTCTGGACTTTGAGGTTTGATGGGAGATGTCATTCTGTAAATATGTTTCTCATACTGGTTAATGAATAAAGCACTGTTGGCCAATAGGAAAGCAAGATAGGTGGGACTAGGAGACAAGGAGGAGTAATTCGATGAAGGAGTAAGGAGGGGTCAGCATGTAGAGACTGGAGAGAACAGAGGTCTGGGCCCACTCTCCAGTAAGATGGGACCACGCGGAAATACTTAGATGAATAAAAATGGGTTAATAATTAAGACAGAGCTAGCCGATAAGAAACTAGTACCTGTCCAACAGCATTATATCAAGTACAGAGTCTCTGTGTGTTAATTGGGGCTGACATGGCCGTGGGACCAGACCAGCGGCGGGGAAAAATCTACTAGTAACACACACCAGGAGCAGTTTCTCTCTCTCTCTTTCTCTCTCTCTCTCTCTCTCTCTCTCTCTCTCTCTGTGTGTGTGTGTGTGTGTGTGTCTATCTATGTATGTCTCTCTCTGTGTCTCTCTATCCATCTACCTCTCTTTCTCTGTCTCTCTCTGTCTATCTGTCTCTCTCTGTGTGTGTGTGTGTGTCACTGTGTGTGTGCCTGTCTATCTATGTATGTCTCTCTATCCATCTACCTCTCTTTCTCTGTCTCTCTCTATCTCTGTCTGTTTCTCTCTCTCTTTCTCTGCTTGCAACTTTGGACGGGACGTGAGCTCTCAACCATGCCTGCTGATGCACTTCCTGCCATGATGACAATCATGGACTCACCCTCTGAAACTGTAAGCAAGCTCCTAATTAAATTCTTTCTTTTATAAGCTTTTAAGCTGTCATAGTTGTGGTATCTCTTCACAGCAATAGAACAGTAAATGAGGGTGTGTGTGTGTGTGTGTGTGTGTGTGTGTGTTTCCTTTTTGAGACAGGGTTTTTCTGTGTAGCCCTGGCTGTCCTGGAACTTGCTTTGTAGAGCAGGCTGGCCTCAAACTCAGATATCTGCCAGCCTCTGCCTCCCCAGTGCTGGGATTAAATGCATACACTGTAATGTGAGCCCTTGAGCCCCAAATAAACACACAGATGCTATATTAGTTATAAAACTGTTGGCCAGTACTTGTCTTAAGACAACTGAAAGTTCCTTGGTCAGGACCCAGGAGAGGTGTTCAAGATTTATTCTTTCAGCGATTATGAAGACCCATTCTCTCTCTGAACTCACAGCAGTATTAGCCATAGTGCTTCCTATAGGGCTAACCCTGACATTTCCCCAGGACCAAACCCTATGACAAAATTTTATTACCTCTGCTGTACCTAAAAATAATAGGCTTAGATTTTTTTATTTGATTTCTTTAGTAGCTCATGCCTGACTATACATTCAAATAACAGTTGGCCCTTAGAAATAATAAATAACAGAGACCAATAATCCCCGAATCCACAGCTGGTTTCATTGGAAGCCACCATGACCAACCACTTTACTCCACCATGACTGGCCCCAAGTGTCTGTTTGTCTTTGTCCTCCTAGGTCTAATGATCAGGCCCAACTTAATTCACTGGTTGTTACCCAGTACCTGCTCCTTCATAAAAAAGCAATGATTTAAATGTAACTTAAATAAATGAAGTGACTAAGGTAAGACCATCTTGTCCTGGTTCCATTTACTGTCTTCTTATTCACTTAGCCCCCTAACCCACCACCTCCAACACTCACCTCTCTCCTGGCTACACACTTGAGAGTTCCATGACTCTGACTATGGTCCAGATGTTTTAACCAAAATGATTAGTGTTTACAATAAATAAAGAAGGTGTAAGTTAAAAAAATATTTGTAATGTTATGCATGGAATAACTACTATGTTCTGCCAAAACCAAATGCTGCAAGGTTCCTCTGATTCTCATCTCACACTGATGTGGTTTGTATCTTTAAAAATGCTGTACCCTGAGCTCCAGCACCAAGAGACATGAACCAGGCACAGACTCCCTCTTGATGGCAGACCAGAAATAAAGGACTCATTTACTTTTAATTGTCTTAATCTGCATGGTTGCCTGTCTCTTTGTTGAATGGATTTATTATAGTATGTCTGTGCACCATGTGCCTGACTGGTGCCTGAGGAGGTCAGCAGAGGGTGTTGGGTTCTCAGGAACTGGAGTTACAGATGGTTGTGGGCTCTGGCCCTCCGAGGGAGCAGCAAGTTCTCTTAACTGCTGAGCTATTGACCGGGATTTTACTGTCTTTAATTGTAGACTTTAGCTGGGTGGGATTCCAGCACTCAGCAGGCAGAGGTGATTGATCTGTGTGAATTCAAAACTAGCCTGGTCTACATAGGGACTTCCAGGACAGCCAGAGCTAGAGACCTTGCCTCAAACTTAATTAAAGCAGACCTTGGAAACGCTTCTAAGTACATCTAAAATTTTGTTTAGACCCTCTGCATATTTGTTCTGAAGGGCCTAAACAGTTCTCAAAGTTTGGAGTGCTTCTGGCAAATTGGAATGAAAAACCCTCGGATGGCTGGCTAAGGTTCTGGGTTCTTTAGAGAGGATGGCCAAACCTGCAAGCTTTCCTTTCTGCTGGCCTAGCTCTTGATGCCCTCTCATTACAAATCCTTTATTTTTCTGAGCCTTAGAGAAAGCCTCTCCTCTAGACTGTAGGCGTGCTGTAGGTACTTTGGGTCCAGGACCAGACTCTTTCACACACGTACTGCAAGGCTCCAAGCCCTACAGCTTATCGAACAGAGAAGGTGCTATGTTATTTTATTGGTCATTTAATCCCCCGGACGCCCCTCTGCCCGGGAGCCCGGAGCGCTGCGCTGTGCTGGGCTGGGAAGGCAGGTGTGGGGCTCGGCCCTCATCTGTCGAGAGGGGACCCGCCACTCTGTCGCGCGTGGCAGGGAAGTGCGTGCCTACTTCTCAACGTAACAGTAGGTCCCGTAGGCCGCCTGCTGGGGCCGAGGGAAGCCGAAGCTGCGCACCCCGGGGTCAGGAAGACCCCCGCAGCGCGGCCGCGGTGTGGTGATGGGGAAGCGAACGCTGCCGTCCGCCAGCCAGCCTCCGTCGCACTGATCCAGCCCCGAGAACTTCCAGGCGGCGTAGAGGTGCCCGACCTTGGCTATCACAGCTCCACGCCTCCGGCAAGCTGCATGGGCTTCAGACAGCGTCAGCCGCCCGGGCACGAAGAACACCTGGCCTGGGAACGTGAACGGGTGACCGACTACCCCAAGCAGCCGCGAAGCTCCGGAGATGACAGCAGGAGAACCCTGGCAGGACCGTGCTCACCGGAGTCCAGAGGATCATTGTCAGGGATGCGCTCGCCCTGACATCAGACTCCGCCCACATCCTTTCTCCCTGCAAAGCTTGTGGCTCTGGGCCCGCCCCAACTCCCCCTCCCTCCCCAGGCCCCGCCCACGACACTGGCCGCTGACCAGTCCCCGCCTGGTCTATACATAGGTCCTGATCCTACCATCTCCGAGGTCCTTTCACTTGGCCCGGCCAAGTCCTTCCTCCTGGCCCAGGCCGGTCCCTGCCCTTCCTCCAGGATGGGTCCCCAGGCGGGGCACCGCCTGCCCATAGTTGGCTCACCTGCCAGCGCCGAAGTAAAGCAGAAGGCGTCGTAGCGGTCACGGCTGCGGTCGCGAGGCCCATAGCTGCGGATGCCTGGCCGCCCATGACCGCCACAAGGGGCGCGCGCGTTGAGCACAGGGTAGCGCACCGAGCCCTCGAGCAGCCAGCCGGCGTTGCACCAGTCCAGCCCCTCGGTCCACGCTGGCGAAGGAGGGGGCGGGGAGGACGGGAGTCACCGGCGCAAGCCAGACTCGAGCTTCCCCATAAACTCTCCGGGGCCGTCGTGCAGCCCGGGGCCGCTAGTGGGAGTCTGGCGCTCACCCTGGTACAGTTGGCCATAAGTGGCCAGGCGCCCGTCCTGCTCCTCGCACGCCTGCTTCGCCTCGAAGTAATTGAACTGGTAGCGGCCCCGGCTGGGTTGGTACGGAAACACCACACCTGCGGGGAGGAGAACTTGGACAGAGCAACTGGGTGCGGAGGGGAGCGCCGGCAGGGGAGACCGGCACAGGCGAAGTGGCGGTCACAGTTAGGAAACAGCAGTGCCGCAACAAAATAGCTCACCCTCTAGGCGCAGGGTCAGTGCCACGCTCTCGTCCTCGATGCCATTGATGAGCTCACAGCGGTACCGGCCCTCGTCCTCCAGGCGCACGTTCTTGATAACCAGGGAGGCATCCAGCCGATGCCCCCTCCGCATGCTGGCGCGCCCTCCCAGGGGCCCATAGCCCCGGGCGTGCAGGCCATTGGTGATGAGGATTAGCGTTTCCCGGAGCTCCCCGGGTTCCACTTTGCTCCAGCGTACCTTGTAGCTGGGAGGCGAGGTGCCCAGGACGCATGGCAGTGTGGCCGTGGCCCCACGACGAGAGTGAATGACCTCGTGGATGGGGGGCAGGAGGTAGTGGGGACCCGGATGGGGGGCTGAGCAGAGGGGCCACAGTGGCAGGCCTCTTATCCTCCCTGCCCCAAGTGCCCACGCAGACCTGGTCCCCAGAGGCTTTCCTCGGGCTTACTGGCTCCACCCTCGCCTCTCTGTACTGGTTCCCACGCCCTAGGTACTTTCAACAGCTGCTCTTTTTAACCCTCCATCCCTTGATCCCCTCCCGCAGTGTCCTGGGTGGGGGATGGGCTAGGGTCTTACCCGGGTTCCCCAGGGCTTGGTGAAAGCTGGTGAATACCCAGGGGAGAAGGAAGCTGCAGACTGCAGGGACAGAGATCCAGCTTGGCATGGTGGTGTCAGCAAACGCTGTTTGCAGGGAACAAATGGTGGGCACTGCTTAGTACTGAAGGAAAAATGGGGGGGGGCAGGGAGGAAGATTATCTTCCTTCTGGGTATATGGAAGCTTTTGTCTAGCTGGGAACCAAGGGCTAGTAACAGCCAGTAAGCTCCGCCTTAGCATCTCCTCGGGGTCTCCTCATCCCAGCTGCTTCCCAAGCCTGCCATTGAGATTTGGATGTCTGTATTCATTTGACAGCATCACTTTCTACCCCAGAGCCAAAGTAAATATGATTTTTCCTGCCTGCAAGAGTGGCTTTCTCTCATGCTGCTGATAAAATCAAATCTTCTTCACAGTTTCCAAGCCTCCCGGCTCCAGCCACCCCTGCGCTGTCAATGTCTCCCTTACATCCAGCCTGGCTGCACTGGAGCCCAGACACAAAGATGCAAGAGACATCAAAATTGGCCCCTACCTCTGGAAAACTTTCCCTCATTCTCCAGTCTCTCACTGTGGAGTATGAAGTCTACTGGAGCAGACAAGGGACTTTTTCCTTTTATCATTGACTAAACTAACTGGATTGGAAAGCACTGCACATGCCCTGGCAGGCTGTGTCACTAGGATTTTCTGGACATTACAGTGCGAAACATTGTAAAGTTATGCAAACAGTTCCAAGTGCAGCTGTCTGTCTGTCTGAACCATGGATTCCCTCTCTCCCTCCCTCTCCTTTTTTCTTTTTTGCTTCTATTCTGATCACTTTGAACTTCTTTTCAAAACAAATGGTGTACTGATGACCCCTTGACTTGTTTTTATTAATTTCACAAATTGGGCTCTTCTATATGCTAATTGCCAAGTAACTTAACCTTAGCCTCAGCGTCTTCATTATCACTAAGTGATAGTTGTAGCATCCTACCTGTGGTGGCTAGTCCTCATTGTCAGCCTGAGTGGATTTAGAATTACCTCCTAGACTTTGAGGCAAACCTCTGGGCATGAGGACTAACCCAGGACCAGGCCCACCCTGAGCATGGGCAACACCACCCTATGGGCAGGATCACCAGACAGAATAAAAGAGAAAAAACTGTGAGCCAAAATCAGTCTTTCCTCAGACTGCTTCTGTTGCATATTTCGGTCATAGCAACAATAAGCTTAACTCACACACTACACTTAGCAGTTGCAAGAATTAGGTGAATTAATCATGGATTTGTAAAATGCTTAAAAACAGAGCTCTGCAAGGAACAAGCGCTATAGAGTAGGATAGGGCCAAGCTATCTGCACTGTTATGACCTAACATCAAACAATCAAGGGGAGGAGGGATGGAAACACTGGGATAGGGTAAAGAAAGTCCTCCAAGCGTAAAGCACTGGGCTCCAAAGACCAGCTTGTAGCTGGAGAGACAGGCTAGTTAAATTAAGATGGCTCAGAGGTTGGGAGCACTGGCTCTTCTTCTAGAGGTTCTGAGTTCAATTCCCAGCAACCACATGGTGGCTCACAACCACCTGTAATGAGATCTGGTGCCCTCTTCTGGTGTACAGGCATACATGCAGGCAGAACACTGTATACATAATAAATCTAAAAAAGAAAACAATTTTTGGCCAGGTAGTGGTGTGCCCTTTGCACTAGGAAGGCAGAGGCAGGTGAATCTGAGTTCAAGGTGAGCCTGGTCTACAAAGCAAGCTCCAAGATGGCCAGGGCTACACAGAGAACCCTTATTTTGACCCTCCCCCCCCATACACAAAAAGAACAAACTTTCCAATAGGGGCTGGAGATGCCTGAGATTGGTTCCCAGCACCAATGCCGTACAGATCACAACTGCCTGTAATACTCTAGTTCCAGGGGGTCAGCAGCCTCTTCAGGACTCTAAGGGCACCTGCTTTCACTAGCACACACTCACCATACCACATGCATACACACGAATAATTTTTAAAAAGCTTTCCAATAACAAAAATGAAGTACCATAGTAGCACACCTTTAATCCCAGCACTCGGGAGTCAGGGGCAGGTGGATCTCTGTGAGTTTGAGGCCAGCCTGGTCTACATAGAGAGTTCCAGAACAGCCAGGACTAATTAGAGAGACCCTTTCTCAAAAAAAAAAAAAAAAATGTATGGGACAGTATTCCATATAGAACAACCTGGTAAACAAGACTGATCTTTATTTTGGGGTTCAGTGTGTAAAGGTGACTACCACCAAGCCTGATGACCCGAGTTCAATTTGTAAGAACCCACATGTTTAAAGGAGAGAACTGGCTCCCACAAATTGTCCCCTGACTCCATTTGCACACTATGGCACAAGCACACCACACCTGAACACAAAATAATAGAAATGCAATAAAATGTTTGTAAAATAATGGATTCAGGATGGTTCAGGACAAGCTACCATCAACATATTTAAAGTGCAATCTGACATAGGCGCTTTACCGCATACTGTGTGTTAACACCTCTGGAGATCCAGGGAGGCAATACTGAATGCCACAGGAGCAGTCACAGAGCTCTAAAGGGAGGGTTTTCAGGGGTTTGATTCCAGACCTAACCAGGTTGAGCTCTTAGCCATTGGTCTGCAGTTCTATATTTAAGAGAAACACACACACACACACACACACACACACACACACACACACACACACCACTTCCTTTGCAGGAAGAAATTAACACAGTGGCCAGCAGCCCATTGCCTACCTGAAAAGATGACCTCAGAGACGAAAGGAGCAGTGCTTAGCAGCTTACTGTCTTGCTGGGGGAAGAAGTTCTTCTGGAGGTGCTGGTGGGGCTCCCGGGGTTCAAAGCACCCTAAGGCCTCAGGGCTTAGGCACCTGACTAAGGAATGCCCTAGCTCCTTGGACACTTCCCAGGAAGTCTTGTTTCCTGTGCTCAAAGAAGCCAGGGTGCTAAGACCTGATCCCCAGCTCACACTAAGCCAGTGGCAACTGGATCAGTGGTACTTGTGTCCTGGGGCCAGAGCAAGACATGGGGTTGGGATGACGGAGGACAGAAGATCACCTAGAAGAGAGCAGAGAACAGGTCCTGCTGCTTCTCCAGTTCTTAGACTGGGCAGGGGTGGGACAGACCGACTGCAAGTCCAAGGATGTTGGGCTGGGCGGGGCAGGGACAAACCCTAAGTGTGAGTCCAGCTCTGTATTTCCATGTGGACCTCATCCAAACAACCAAATCGCCCCTCCCTCCCCCAAAGCCCTCACCTGTGCCCTCCAAGCCAGGCCACATGTGGCCTTTTGGAATTTGCTGTCAAGGTGGGAATCAGACTTTCAGGATGTCCGGCAGCTTCGGGACCCTGACCCTTTCTGTCAGTCTGTCCATTTCTTTTCTGTTCCCACCCCACTGGAAACACAATTTCCCATTGTCTCTGTCTTTTCCCCTATTGTTGGATAACAGGGCCCTTTTATTCATCCTTTGGGTAATGGCATGGAAATGTCAACAGCTAGGGACGTGGGATGCAGGACAGGCTGGCACAAACCACCGGAAAAAGGCCTGGGTGGGTAATTGGCTCTGAGCAGAAACTGACATCCAAGGAGAAGACTATAGGTAAGATTGAAGCGGGCACCTTTAGTACCACAAACTCCAGGATTATAAAGAGAGTGTATGTGATGCTGGGAACCAGCTTGTCCCTGGGGGACAGGCGGGGCAGCAAGGATTACTGTTGGAGAGGTAGAAATAACATAAAAATGTTCTGTCCCTGGGAAGGGACATGTGACTCTTATAAGAAGGAACTATGGGAACGCTCTAGTATTTTTATTTTATTATTTTAGATGTATGAGTTGCTTTTTGGATATATGGTGGTGCGTGTCTGTGCACCTGCAATTCCCAAATGGCCAGAAGAGGGCAATAGATATTCTGGAACTGAAGTTAAAGGTGGCTGTGAACCACAACTTGGGTTCTGAGAATTGTCCTTTGCAAGTGCTCTTAACCACTGAGTCATGTCTACAGCTCCCTGGGACACTCTCTAAAACTGGATAATCTTTGTTTAAATTTTCAGGAGGACCAGTGAGATGCTCAGGAGGTAAAAGCCCTTGCCACACAAATCTGACAGCCTGAATTCAATCAGCAGGACCCATAGGGGAAAGAAAATCAACCTCCAAAACCTGTCCTCTGACCTCCACACCCAAATTCAACCTGCACTCCCTCACACAATAATAAAATCTAAAATTCTGAAAAGGCCAAGTGTGGTAGTTCCCATCTCTAATGCCAGCACTTGAAATGCTGAGGCAGGAGGATTGCCATGAGTTTGAGACCAGCCTGAGCTACAGAGTGAACTCTCTCAAAAACAAATAAAAACAGGGTCAGTGAGAGGACTAGAGAGATTAAGAGCACTGGCTGTCCTTTCAGAGGACCTGGGTTCTATTCCCAGCACACACACGGCAGCTCTCACCTGTAACTCCAGGCCCAGGGGATCCGATACCCTCTTCTGGCCACTGTAAGCACCAGTACACACATATGATGCACAACACATGTGCAGGCAAACACCCACACATATGAAATAATAAGATTATAAAAATTAACTTCTGAAGAGGAAGATCCTTAGTCTCTTGGGCAGAAATTTACTTCCTCTCCAGTCTCCACAGCCTCCCTCCCCCTGCTGAAGTCTACTCCCGCAGACAGAGTTACAGTTCACACACAGATGCACACAGCTGAGGAGTACACCTGGTGTAGATTCACCTGTGTACACCGTACAGACAGGTGTCTGCCAGAAACTCAGATTAAGACTTTTGGCTTCTATCAGTGCAGAGGACCTGTCCCCATGACAGCCTTCCAAACTCCTCTCTCTCTCTCTCTCTCTCTCTCTCTCTCTCTCTCTCTCTGTGTGTGTGTGTGTGTGTCTGTCTGTCTGTCTCCCTTTCTCCCTCTCCCTCCCTCTCTTTCCCTCTCTCTGTCTCTGTCTCTCTCCCTCTCCTTCTTTCTGTCTCTCTCTCCCTCTCCCTCTCTCTGTCTTTCTTCCTCTCTCTCTCTGTCTCTCTCTCCCTCTCTGTCTCTCTCTTCTCTCCCTCTCTCCCTCTCTCTCTGTCTGTCTCTCTCAGTCTCTCTCTGTCTCTCTCCCTCTCTGTGTGTCTCTCTCCCCCC